GTTTGACCGGTCAAACTTGGTCGGGGCGGACGACCATTGGATGTGTGATCTGATGGAATATTTGACGGATGGGAGTTTGCCAGAACAAGATGACCGGGCAAGAAAAGTGAAGCTCAGGGCACCCCGATTCCAGATTCTTGATGGAAAGCTGTATAAAAGGGCATTTGGGGGGCCACTCCTGAGATGTCTAACCAACCGGGAAGCTGAGCGAGTCATAGCGGAAGTCCACGAAGGCGTATGCGCGGCGCATCAAATGTCCCGTACGCTTTCCCAGCGCATCATCTTGTTGGGATATTACTGGCCAACAATTGTCCAGGATTGTGAAAGATACGTCCAGAAATGCAGGACGTGCCAAGTATTCTACAAGTACCCCGGTAGACCAGCGACCTACTATCACCCCGTATCGAATGTCATCCCGTTCGCTAGGTTCGGGGTTGATATCATTGGAGCATTCCCAGTCGCCCAAGGAGGGAAGAAGTTCGTGATCGTAGCTATTTAGAAGATATATATTTAAAAATGTAAAAAATGAAGGTTTGAAGCCTTGAGGCTTCAAACCCATTTCCATTGAATGTATGCGGTAAGTTAAAACTGACGTGTGGCAAAGAGAAATTTTGAAGCCTAGGTTTGAAGCCTCAGGTTTCCAATTATTTCCATTGGTCTGATTGGCGAGTGACTGCAGCAAAACCTAGAACCGAGAGGTACCCAGCTTCCAGCGCCTTACGCAGCCCCTAAACCCTAAAAACCCCTCCCATCCAAATCCAGGAGAACAACAATGGCAGCAATCATACGCAGCAAGCTCCGTCTCCTCTCACCCGATCTCCCTCATCGGATCCGCCATTTCGCAACTTCGATCTTGAACCCAGATTCGAAAACCGCGCTCTCAAGCAAGGAGAAATCTCGAGCCGCCCTCTCTCTGCTCCAAACCGAGACCAACCCGGAGCGCATCCTCGACATTTGCCGGGCCGCCTCGCTAACCCCCGAGTCTCACCTCGACCGACTCGCCTACTCCAAGGCCATCTTGAAGCTCCGGAACTCGAATTACTTCGGGGGGATCCGGGAATTCCTCGAGGAATCCAAGTCCCGACCCGATTTCAGGTCCGAAAAGCTCATCTCCCACGTTGTCGTTCTCTATGGGCAGGCCGGCATGCTCAATGACGCCATGCTGACCTTTGAGCAAATGGAGGAGATGGGAATCCAAAGATCGGTGAAATCGCTCAACTCTCTGTTGTTTTCGTGTCTTCTAGCTAAAAATTATGATGAAATGAAGAGGATTTTTGTGGATTTTCCGAAAAAATATGGGATTGCTCCTGACTTAGGTACCTACAATGTCATGATTAAGGGGTTTTGCGAGTCGGGTTCTGCTAGCTCTGTTTACTCTATATTGGATAAGATGGTTAGTAATGAAGTCAGGCCAAATGCCACAACTTTTGGGAACTGTCTCAGAGGTTTTTACAGTGAGGAAAAGTTTGAGGATGTTGGAAAGATTATGGATTTGATGAAACAACATGGGGTTTCATCCGGAATTTCTATTTATAACATAAGGATTGAGTGCTTGTGTAAGCTCAAGCGGTCTAAGGAGGCAAAGGCTATGCTTGATAAGATTTTTTCCGCGGGTATAAAGCTGAATTCCTTTACTTATGCTCATTTGATACATGGGTTTTGTAAGGAAGGTGATTTGGAAGAGGCAATGAATTTGTACAAAAAGATGGTTAACCGTGGATTCCAACCGGATAGCGAAACCTACTTTAGGCTGGTTTACTTTTTATGTAAAAGTAAAGATTTTGAGGGCGCAATTGCGATTTCTAAGGACTGTATGGAAAAGGGATGGGTTCCAAATTTCTCAACTATGAAGATGCTCGTGGACGGGCTTGTGAGTATTTCGAAGGTTGATGAGGCAAAGGCAATTGTTTCTCAGATGAAGGAGAAGTTTTCCAAGAAAGCTGACAAGTGGACTGAGATTGAAGAAGGGCTGCCCAAGTAGGGAAAGGAAGGATGGTAAACTTCTATCTCGGCTTTTGAATAATCAAGTAGTGTCATTTTTAGCTATTGACATTGACTGCCTCCTTCTGTTCTGATGGTTAAAATTCATAGGGCCCAGAAAATTTTGCCAAAGGTCTCTCTATACTTTGCTTCCGGTATTATTACTTGGACTTGATTTCCCAAGCAACATATTTCGAGTTCATTCTCAAAGCTATTTGAACATGGGGGAACTATATCACCTCAAATGTAGTTCTTTTTAGCATGAGAGTCAAGTGATTACAACTACCTCCATGCAACAATAGTTTGAAAACGATGGCCGATATGTTTGTATTGACCGTATTCTCAAGTACTCCATATGTTTCATTGCTGTAATGTGAAATGCATAAATTTTTCTTGCTAATTTATTTAATTTCTATAAAATGGAACAACTCACAATTATGTTCCTTTTTTGTAAAATGCTGTTTTGTGGTTTTTGTGGTTTAGTGTTTTTTCCCTGGAAAGTGCTGTTTGTTCCCATGATGCCATGAGTGGCATCCATAGTCCCATGGAAACATGATTTTTTCCCCCTAAAATGCATTTTTGGTTTCATAATCTGTTTTGTCATGTCTACAGTTTTTTATTTTGTGAAAGGAAACTGAGAACATACGTTGATTTGAATGATAAGTAGACTATAAAAGATGTCGTTTTAAAAATTAAGGAATAGGGGAAATGAAGATTTTAGCCTCTAGTTGCCAAAATTGTTAAAATGGTGAAATTTACCAGACTGACAAAATTGTTAGCTTTCTCCCTCACTCTAATTAATGGTTAAATAAATACTGAGTATGATAGGGGCTTATTAGACTATATACCAAACTGATGTATGGATTACACATTTACTTCCTCCGTCTCACTGTCTTTGTCCACTTACCTTTTGGCACACCATCCAATGCACTTCTTTAATCTATTTTATCTTGTAATTTGTATATTAAAAAAATATATACAAATTATATATTAATAATCTATATGTTAAGACGAATCAAATAAGATCACACATGACTATTTTTAGGCTTACACATTAAGAGAATTTCATGAGTCAAAGTGCTTAGATGAACAGTTCCAAAAGTCAAAAGTGGACAAAGACAATGGGACAGAGGGAGTATGTGGGGATTTTTGTATGTACTCCGTAGTTTGTTGGGTTTGAGCTGAATTTTCAAAAACATGTCATATTCACGTTTTATTTACTGTAGAACAAAGTCAACACACTTGAGAATGCCAACATTGAAAATTGATACTCTCCCCGAACCGAATTAGCTTACAATCTTTTTTTCTCTCCTCTCAATAAGTTTTATATATATGTGTGTTTTTATTGAGTATTTGATAAAATAAAATATTTTTGTCACACCTTGTTTTGTAGAACTTTTAACGTGTTTTTTGGAACCTTTAAAAAGGGAAATGGTGGGCCTTATTTTTTTAAAAGGTGGAACGCCCTCCCCTGTCAGACTCAAACTCAACATAGTAGAGAGATAAATTACGGTATAATCTTAATCTATCGTTAGAGAGGTTGTCTTGTGATCAATGCGAACAAAGAGCTATTGCATTAGTAAAACTCTAACACGTTGCCGAGATTGGATCCAGAGTTTGGTGCTATTTTTGTTCTATTATTAATGATTGTAAGTGTTTTCAGACACCTTGTGGGGAAGATCTTTATTTTGTTTTCATTTATTGCTTTGCTAATGAGGTAGCACATTTGTTAGCTTATGCTACTCATTCTATGACAGGTTTAGGACTTTAGGTGTGGGTTGACTCATCCCGAGATTATAATGTCATGGTTTAATATTCAAGTTTTTTGTTAAGAAATAAACAAATAATTATACACGATGAACGTGAAAAAAATTGATAGACTTAGTGAATCACATGAAACATGTTTTCAGATTAAAAGTATTTTAGAATATATCAAAATACTTTGATCGGAAAAGACATAAGTATCTAGAGCAAGTATATAAAATATATCTAATACAAACTAATTGGATGTTTTTGTTGACGAGATAACATGACTTCACGTAAAACATTCAAATGTTGTGGTCAAGATATTCAAATATATGCATAAAAAATTTGGTAACTCTTATTGCATCTCAGCGGCTTTAAGCATGAAGTGTTGTGCCCAATAATGTAACATTCGAATGTTTGATACGGAGTACTAAACATTTGAGTGTAATGTGCCTTTTCGCAAATGAGGTTGGAAATAAACTATATTTTTTTTGGAGGAAATAAACTATATATTTGAATGTACTACTTTAAACATTTGAATGTTGCCATACTTTGAATTCTATTTATGAAAATATGAAGGATGGTGTAATTAAATACTACGTAGTACGTCTGTGTGTAAACATAGACACATAGACACTACCTTATTTTTGAAGTATTTATGCCATTGGTTAAAGGTGGGCACAATTCAGGACAGCTTGAGTTTGATATCATCCCGCATCTTGTCCTATTTTTCAAACAGCTCAGAACGATTCATGTCATAAGTTTATCCATCTTTGTCTCTTAATATTCGAGATTGGGACAAAATGGAATACATTCGGATTGTCCTGCTTTGTCATTGTCCGAAGTTAGATATAAAAATATAAAATATATAAGGAAAAGGCAACACAGTTTGACTTGCAAAATAATGAAAAAAGTATCTACAAAAAATTTGTTAAAAAAGCCAAACATAATAAGACAACATGAAAAAATGTTACTCCGTACAACATTTGTCAAAAGTTAAAACTATAAGCTTCATAAATTAGACTAGGTACGGGTCAGAACCGTCCAAGTTTTATGTGCTCCATTCTTAGCTAGTCCATCTTTTTAGACTATTTAAATCTCGACACTCATTTTTATTGATCTTGGGAAAAATAAAATTGTGATACTTTTTGGATTAGATCATTTTATATAAATAAATAAATAAATAGGTATATACATACAGGACAATGAAATGGAATGTAAAAAATATTTACGTGGCTTAGTCCCGTCTCATTGTAAAAAGGTTTGAAACGGGTTTGTGATAAAGTTTTGTAAACCCAAACCAATCAAAATATTATAAGGACGGGACTAAGATATTTCATGTTGGAGCAACGGATCAGGATTCTTGCCCACCCCCATCATTAATTTTCTTGGCGAAATTAAATTGTAAGAGCATCTCCAACCTTATCAATATGGCTTGCTAAAATTTATATAATAGCAAGTGAGTCTATGTTTTCCATCTCCAAAGGATGTGGTATATTATAGCACACTAGTCAAAAAGTAAAATTGACTTGCTAAACATAGCAAGCCACCCAAATAATAGCAAGCCAAAAAAATTAATAAAAAATGAAATCAAGGGTCCAAAAAAATAATCTCATCATGAGAATAGAAAGAGGCACTAGAAAAATCCATTCTTAGTTAAAATTTAGCTAGCATGGTTGCAAAATGGAGAAAAAAACTACTTGCTATATGACTATTCACTAGCTAAAATTTAACAATAACAATTTAATATAGCAAGCATGGTTGGAGATGCTCTAAAGTTTATTTAGGGTGTAATTAAATACTCTGTAATACGTCACACGTGCGCGCTCACACACCCACACTATTTTTGAAGTCATTAAGACCATCTCCAATACACTATTCTAAACTCAAACTCAAAATGCAGTATAAATTCAAAATACAGTAATTCATCTCCAACTAATTAGATTATAGTCAAACTCAAAACAATATTTTTACACAATATTCTTTTTCTCGCAACTTTAAATCTTTCACAAATTTAAATAATAATAATAATAATATATTACATAATATAATGCTCCCTCTATCCCAAAAACTTTTCTTTTTTTCTTGTTCTACAAAGCCATTCCAATTCCTATTAAAAACCATTTTTTTCCTACTAAATCGTACTCTACCGATCATATCATATTTTTTTACTAATAATCAACACATCACATCACAAATATTTTTGAAAAGTCAATACAAAAATATCTCTCACTTAAATTTTCTAAAAATCAAAATGGCAACATCTTTATGGGAGGAAGGAAGTATAATAATAATACAGATTACTCCGAGTAATAAATAATACTCCTTCCGTCCTAAAACATTCTTCCATTTATGTTTACGAAGTTTGATCAACTTTATTTTCAATTCATTTTATTTGATTGTAGGAGTAAAACTAAAAAATAAAATTTATATATTTAAAAACTAAATCAATGATTCTACAAAATAAGATGTGACAAGACTATATTATTTTATCAAATAACTAACGAAATAGGTAAAGAAAGTGATTAAAATTTAACCGCGTGAATAATAACTCAGAAAATCATTTTAGGACAGGGAGTAATAAGACACTCAAATCTAGATCTAATTTCACCGGAAGGGAGGAAGAACTCGGAAAATAAAAATTGCATGCAAAAACTTAAATCGATGCAGATGCATCTACACTGGTTGAATCTGAGTAATGCATCTACACTGGTAACAGCGTTTTCGATTCGCGTTAGCGTTTTGGATAAAAAATTTAAGTGCAGATTAATTCTGAAAACGTTAACGCTAAAATCTACCATCGGATAGCTTTTTCAAAACGCTAACGCTAATCTCTAACGCTGATGCCAAACGGGACCTCTGTGGTGATGAGACAATGGTGTACACTTGGAGTACACCATTTAGTGTACCCCTAGCATTTTTCATTGAATTTTGTCGAAGATAGGCTCCTGACACAAATTGGAGAAGAGCTGTAAATATTTTTTTTAAAAAAAATAGGGGAGGATATGAGATTTCATAAGCCATAGATTTTCTTGGGTAAACATAGATAATTTTCCAACACTAATGGTGTGTTTGGTTGGGAAGAAAATATTTTTCAAAAAAATAAATTCTATTTTCTTGCACCTGATGGCATTAGAAGAAGGCCGGAAAAAATAATTTTTTCCTCTCAATATGAGAAAAATAATTTTAACTAAAATTTGATAGAAAATTTTCATAAAAAATTACCTCAAATTTTCATAAAAAAATTACCTCAAATAGGAGTAAAACATACTTCTGCCATCTCATATTAAGTTACTTATTTACTATTCACATTGTCAAATTTAATTCATTTAATTTACTTATTTTCATGACTAATTTAATAAAATAATAATCATATCATCTCTTGTTTTGTCGAACTTTTGATGTAATTTTTTAGTATATAAAATTAATTTTTTAATTGCGCATGAATTCTTTAATAAATTACATTGGAAATAGTTTAAATTCAAATATTGTAAATCAAAGAAGTAATTAGGAAGTAACACTATCTTCAAAATAAGAGTTCATTATTCTTAATTTCTTATATTAGCATGTCATTAACTTCTATTTTTGGGATAAAAATATAGAACTCATATTTTGATACTTTTTCCATATTTTACTCAATTACTCCTATTTCACTCCATTTTTTATAATTTTCAATTCATTCACTCTCCACCCCCACACCTACCTCTGTCCACCTCATACCCCTTTGGCCCTTTCCCTTCCACCCCACCCTAACCCCTACCACCCCGCCCCACCCCCTACTACCCGTCACCCCCTACCTCGACCTCAAGTACACCACATGACTACCACCCTCACTCCTCACCACCCCTACCCTCCCCCATCCACACCCACCCCGCCAACCATCCGACCCTCACCTCCACCTACCCGTCGTCCTTGTTCACTTGCCACACGCCACCCGCCTATGAACGCTTAATAAAAGAAACTAACTTTTTAAGAAAAAACTTTCTTTCCTACCAAACAACGAAATATATGATTGGAACATATTTTACCCCAACCAAACACACTCTAACTCATTGTCTTATCACTTCAACTTTAGCATCTTAAAAATATTAACTACACACTTCTCTTCTCTTATTCTACCATTGCATACATTAAAAAAAAACATGGACAGTATACTCCCAGTCCAGGAATCCACAAAAGTTCAGCAAGTAATTTTGAATGAAAAACAAAAACAAAACAAAAAACTATGAAACCTCAGCTGTGCAGATCCCAACCATCTTCATAGATAGATTGATCCTTCAGCCATTTATCACACTCACTGTTTAGCCTGATCATCATCAATCACAGTTTAAAAGATTAGTTCCAAAATGATGTATATATTAATCCCAGTCTCAATTCCATATTAGGTTAGGTCAGTCTGACCCATTTCACGGGGAATTAGATCTTGTTCTCTTCAACTTATTCTTACTTATTCTTATTGAAATCTAATCGGACCAGACATTAGATAATAAATAACTTTAAATAAAACTACTCTCAAATCTTATCAGATCAGAACAAGCCCTTAGTCTTCTTACCAAATGCGCGGGTTCAGGTGGTTTGGGCCTAAATACTACCCCGCATTAAACATGAGGTGGACCGAGTATATCAGGCCTTACTCACTCTACACATTTGGACTCCCAATATACCCATCACAAATTTCCAACTACCATTTCTGCTTCCAAGACAACTATGCCCTTTAACAAACAATTCTTGAAATTGAAATGGGCAAGAAAGGTAAAGATGGAGAAGGTAAAGGTCAAGCAAGCAGAAGAATGAGAGAGAAGAGATTATTACCTGGGAGTAAATGAAGGTTCCTAGGACAGCGATCGCGGCTCCAAGAGCATTGACCGGTTGAACAGGTGTCCTGAAGATGATGATGGAGGAAACAATCACCGAAATTCGCTTCATCGTGTTCCCTATGCTGAATGTCAATGGAGATATCTGATCCAGCGACATGTACGACACCTGGTTGTACAAATGATAGAATATGCTCTGTGCAGCCACCCACCTACGCGTTCATTCAAATGTCATTATTTATATTAAAATAACCCAATCTCACAAGATCGACGCCAAGTTAATGGGGCATTTTACAATATTGAAACAAATGATATGAAAATGTTGCTTTTGAGTTTTGACATCAAATCAAAGAATCACAAGCCTGTCAAAAAAGTTAAGGGGGATGAACCACTTTCTCCTTCCTATTATATATGCCCTCCTAGAAGATGAAGAGAGTTGGGAAAAAGACTAAACAAGGGAGTAAAACATACAGAACATACCAAAAAAGAGCTCCGTGTAAACATTCCCAAAATAGGAGTTACGGTATCAATAATGTCAACGTATAATACCAAAAAACACGGTGGAATGCCAATAAACAGTGCCACATTGTCAGAGTGCAAACTCATATTTTGGTATTAAAACATAGAGCTCATATTTTGGGATATACACCCTGTTTTACTTCTATTTTGGGTGATTTTTTAAGGGGGGTCTCCTGAGACGGGGAACCACTTCACATACAACATAAAAATGAGGGCGTACCAAACAAAATTGGGACCGATTTGAGAAACAGCTTCTTGCCAGCCAGCAGCCCACATTTGGGGGCCTTCCATGGCAATAGCAAAAGGTGTAAGAATCACCAGAGACAACATAGACAAGCAGGCGTAGTAGTTCATCCCACTCACAGACTTCCCAGTCATTCCTCTCTTTGAGAATATATTCCTAAACACAAACGCCAAGTTTGATATCATCGCCCCCATAAATCCTGCAACAAAATCTCAACTTTTCCGTTACGCTATACAAGGAATGGGTCCCGCAATAATTGCTATTTGAGAAATCACTATTAATTAATGATTGATCCCTTACCGATCATGTTGAAATTGAGCTCGGTAACTGCTGCAAGTGCGCAACCACCAATGATCGGAATGAGGGACAAGTAGACCGGAACGGGGAAGCTCTCACCGAGCAAAAACCGTGACACCAACACACTAAATGCTGGTTCGCCACTCTTTATTATGTGTGTAAATGACACTGCAACCTTTGACATGCTTACCGTTGCTGCTACATGCCCAATTGTATGAGCCACTGCAACCTGATAAATAAGGAAAAACATAATCATCAACAAATAAACAAATAATCTCTTTGTGTCTGTTATTAATTGTAGCTGTAGATACTATTTTAATCTCAAATAATTGCCAATTTCGAATAAAGATCGTCGATTTATTGATTTTGACAGTTACATTCTATTGATCTATTCATATAATAGTTTGTCACTAACAAATACTCTCTCTGTCCCTAAAAAAACTTCCCTTTCTTTTTTTGTCGGTCCCAACATATATGTCACACTTTTCTTTTTTCTTGGGAACTAGAATTTGGATTTCAAATCCGGATTTGGCTCAAATCCATGTTTGGGAAATCTTAAAAATTTGGATTTGGATTTGAGGCAAATTATTCTAATTCATCACAAAGCTCAAATGCAAATCCATATGTCTCCCATTGTCATTTGAAATTCAGGAATTCAAACTGTGGAATTTAAATGCAAGAATTGAAATGAAATGTTAGTTCCCAAGCACTACCTTGGGAAATTAACATGTGACTCACGTTATTTCTTTCTTCTAATAAAAATTCCAACCATATTTCTCAGTCATCAACATTATCCTTAAAAGCGTGAAGTCAATCCCATGAATTCGTTTCGGGACAAAAGCCGGAAGGAGTATTTTCTATAAGTATTCATTCGCGAATAAAAGAGAGTAAAATTGGGATATCATTAAATACTTTATGAATTCGAGAAAGTTACCGACAAGTACTTTTTTAAATAACAACTTGCACTCCTCGCACTACGAACCACGAACATCCTATCTAGTCTTTGGAAGTTCGGAGTAGACCTAAGTTCTAGAAACATCTTACCCTAATCACTACTCTCGAGGGTAAATGGGATATGCTGCGAGTAGTTTGTTTGGTTAAGTTTTCAAATTTGGCACATAGTATCTTATACTCTTATCTATACATTGGTTTATAGGTATTACATTCTTACATTTAAGCAGATAACTAAACAACAGTTACAAACATCAGATGGAATCCATAACAATCACTTCAAGAAAACTGAAAATTCCAGATAACACTGAATCTCAAAATAAATGAAATGCTGTTGAAAAAAGAATACCAAAATTTCATACCGGGAACAGGTTCTTCCAGAACTCAAGATCAGTTTTGGGGGTTTCAGCAATTCTTGTAGCCCAAGAGAGGAGCATAATCAAAGAACCAACCGCCAGAGAGAGAGTTGAGGTCAGCCATGGATATGGAAAGGCGTTTAGAACTTTCTTGTTGTAAATATTGAAAACCACATTCAAAGCCCACCAAGTGGCAAAGTAAATGCCGATTTTGAGCTTCTGGGCAGCCTCTGATTTTGGCACTCGATCGATTTCGGGATCCAAAGGCCTTGCCTGGTCGCCCTCATGAGCTCTGCAACTGATCTTGAACTTAGGGTTTAGGGTTCTTGATTCCAAAGATCCAAACTTTGCAACAGAGGAGACGCGTAGAGGCCTCTTGATCGACACATCTCCGTTTACAACCTTGGCTTTCGCGAACTGGGGAAGTGGAAGAACCCTAGGCACTGCCGGACACAAGTTTAACCTCTTTGTAGAAATCAAACCAGACTGTGAGATCGAGAAAGCCATGGATTTGAACTAGGAATAAAAAGAAACTGCTGCTTAAAAAAGAATTCGAATCAATTTCTTGTTTTTCTTCTTCTTCTTTCTGTCTTCTGCGGATCAACCCAGAAGCAGAAAGAATACAGAATTGGAACAACGCTTCCTTGAGATGCAAATGTTGAAAATTATTGAATATGGGTAGGTGAATGAAGGGAGGAAGAAGATTTTAAGGTTGGTGGTCTCGGTACAAGGTACCACAAGTTATACACAACGTACGACGAGGAGCGGTGGCCTGTTTGGGCTTATCACTTGAGCATCTTTCCCTGAATCTCCGTCGGATCTTCGGTAAAATCGTAGAACAACTCGAGGGTTGTCTTTTGTAAGGTAAAATATCGTCAAAGTAAAAATTTTGTAACTGAAAAGAAAAAAAATATTGCACCGCAGATGGTCTTTTTTTTATTTCTTTCTGCATTGGGTGTTTGAATTTATCATAAACAAGAATGATTAATGATTACTCTCTATAGCAAAATAAAAATGGATACTTTTTCTAAAGTTTAATGCAAATGATTTTTTAGGGGGAAGTGTTTTAGAGTTTCATGCAAAATAAGTAAATTATACATTCAAAATTTTGTAACGGTAATATTAGTTATCTTGTGCTAACTGTTAAGTTTTCGTCTGTTGTTTAAAAAGGGCAACAAGAACCCTTCTCCACTCTCACGTGATCTCCCCTAACCCACCTCTGATCTTCTCTTTACCAAGCTCAACAGGGCACCAAAGATGTTTTAAAAACTCAATATCATAATTGTGAGAGTGATACATCATATCATAAGAAGCGAATCTTGATTTTCAAAAGTACTTATTGCATAAAAGGGCAAGGAGGTGTTTGAAGTTGCTCGATTAGCCAAAATTTGACTAGTTTGGTCAAACAAAGCTAGTTAGACAAGTTAAAACGCTAAACACGGTGTTTGAAAATTGTCCGTTTAATTAATCCTCTTCAATCTAAGACTTGCCATTCTCCAATTTTTTAATGTGTTATTGCCATGTAATTTTTAACCGTGGAAACGAAATAATAGAGGAGAGAATGCATGACTAGAGAGGAGCCATTTTGTCGCCGAATACATCAATCTTGATTTGATTGAATCTAGTCTGATCTGAACTGAACTAATTCCAATAAAATTATGTAATAAAATATGTGAAGAGAACACGCTCTTAGTTAGCGAGAATTGTTGAACCTTTCACCCATTCAAACTATTTGTCGCAAACTGTCAACAAATGACAACCAATCTCTTAGGCCCAAAAGAATACATTATTTCATTTGATCTATATACTTCCAATAGAAATATTTGCACTAAATAACACTAAAACTTAAGTCATTTTCCTAAATAGCACTTAAATTGTTTTATTCCCTAAATAGCACTTAATAATGTCCATAATGTCCTGTGATGGCAGATATTTGCTTGAATAATGACTAATGCATAATGACTAAAAGTGTTACATCGGGAAGAAAAACACATGTGGTGCTATTTGGGGAAAATCATTATGTTTTAGTGCTATTTAAGTAAATTTCTCCTTCCAATAAGCTACTATAGCATTTTAGACTTCAGCATCCTCATTGTTTAGGGGACCTTAGGCAATCACATCCAATCTTTCTTTCGCCATCGTCGAACAATGCATGGGCCACACTATCAAACCTCTTTTCAGAACAATAGTATGGACCGTCGACTTGATCAATATTGAATTCATACACATCAGGGTGAGAATAAGGGTTACATTTGTTAGACGCCTTGCACACCTCTAGAGGGGGGTGAATAAAGGTGTTGCCCAAAAGACCAGTTTTTTTCGCGGAAACGTTCTTCACGAATATTCAACAAAAACAATGCACCACAAACAAAAAAAAGTGAAGGATAAGAGCAATGCACACACGATATATACTGGTTCGGCCTAAATGCCTACATCCAGTCCCCGAAGCAATCGTGCCCAGGCCTTCACTAACCCGTCAAACTTAACGGAGTTTGACAATCCGAATACAACTCGAGAACTTGATTTCACAAGCCTCTTATCTTACCACCGAAGTTTTGATTTCACAGAACTCAGGATTTCTTCCACCTAACGTTTGATTTCACAAACCGTTAGGATTTCTACCACTTGGTGTAATCCCAACACCAATAATACAAATCCCTTACAATAAAGTAAGAAAACAAACCGCAACCGAGTAATTCTCCCAACACGGAGTAGATTGTTGCAAATACAATGAAGTCCTTTAGAATATGGCAATATCTCTCAAAGACTCAAGCAATGAGGAAAAACTCAAGCAAGAAATGATTTAGCAATCAAAACAATTGCCTTGCTTGGATATAAGGAGGGGATTGAGTAGAATCTCTTTGGATATTCAAAGGATATGTT